TTCCAAATTAGTTAGTAAGATTGTAACTAACAGGTTGACCCCAGATCTTTCAATTAGCTGCTGAGTGCGTAGCCTCCCAGGGCCCCTGACTCACTGAGGTATTAGGGAAATGATGGCATATTTGAGCGTTTGATTTTCTGATAAGTCAGAAGCCCCACATTGACTGTAGACGCACGCACCCATTATAAGAGGACAATTGAGTGTGTAAAACCTCTTTTATAAATGTGTTTTAATCTAACAGTCTGATGAAGCAGGTATTACTGTTTATTACTGCTGAGAAAAACCTGAGGCTCAGAGAGGTAAAGTAACAGGTTCTAGTGCTAAGTTATCTTAAGTAGATTCAAATGGGTCTGCAGATAAGCAAGTGTGTATGCTTAATTAGCCCAAAGGAGCTTGCTCGCCCTTGTGGCCTATTGGAGTACGAGTTGAGTAATTCACTGCAGGGGTTGTAGATCGAAACCACCTGCCACTTCACGGGAGCAATTTTTACAGCCTCGCAAAATCACAGGTGCACTTCTACTCTCCTATAGGGTCGCTCAGTCAGAATCGACTTTAAAAAAAATAGGCTAAAATAATGAACGTATTGATACATAAGGCCTAAAAACAGAAACACAAGAAAAGTCGTCACGTGTAACAAAGAGAGAAAAGGTGTTTACAGGCTTGTCAGTGCAACTCGCAAACATCAAGGAGGTGCGTCACAGCGGCCTAACTCGAAGACTGTGCGGCGCTTCGGGAGGAGGTGGGCGGGGCTCCCGGGCCTCGGCGGAGTGGGCGGGGCTCCCGGGCCTCGGCGGAGTGGGCGGGGCTCCCGGGCCTCGGCGGAGTGGGCGGGGCTCCCGGGCCTCGGCGGGCACCTGCGCAGCCGCAGAGCCGTTTGTTAAGAGCCCAGGCCCGGGACCGAGAGGAGGAGGTCGAGCCGAATGGGCAGAACCTATTGACGCAAGCGCGCGCGTCCGTTTCGAGGCACCCTACGCTGGGACGCCGCAGGGAGGCCTGATGTCTTTCTTTTTTGCCCATTTTAGATCGCAGGGTCTGCTGAAAAATTTCCAGAAAATTTTGCAACATGCAAGCTTCCGCTTTTTTGCCCATTTTAGATCGCAGGGTCTGCTGAAAAATTTCCAGAAAATTTTGCAACATGCAAGCTTCCGTTGATTTGCCCATTTTAGATCGC